GAGTCATGGACAGTTAGAGATGGTCATCTCACCTCTGAGCTTTGGTCTGGCTCTCATGTTCCCCACACAGAGTGGTTTAGAGGGAGGGACTCCCTCCTCTCTGTCCTCACACTGATCCATGCTGCTGAATTCACATCCACATCAGCTCACACACACTTTCTACCTTCACCTGCAGAGAAATACAAATCATTCATGTGCACATCGACTGTCAGGATCAGGTGTCTCCACTGTGTAGTACTCATTTGATATCTTTGGAAACTCACCTTAGGATTTAGTTTAAGGAAAGGCATCAGGTGTAAAACTCACAGTTAAATTAAAATTTGGTGGGTGCACTTATTTTGGCAGAAGTCAATTGATTTCAATAATAACTTAATTGCAGTGTTTAGGCTGTCATTTCTAGCATCTACATGGATGTTAACATCACCTAGTATGATTATTCTGAACTCACCACTAAATCAGATTAAAAACTGAGCATGAGCCGGGTGGATGATACATAACAAATAGTTGTTTTTACTTTCACAGTTAGGGTGCAAAAGGCAAAGATTCAAGCTTTTCGTATGCTGTATCCAAGTTTTTGTAAGGCACAGTGAATATAAAGTAAATATGTTGATCAGTGTAGTGTAGTGAGGGTGTGCTGGGAATGCCTAGCAGCAACGTTCCCTCTAAGTTGTGCGCATGCACAATCGCACACTGCTGAAACGTGCACAGAAAATCTGCGTTGCACACAACAACAACAAAAAATCCAACCTGAATTGAAATTAAAATAAATACATAACAATTCATTTTGTGCTATTTTGTAGTGTGAGTCAGTAAGTGACCGGTGACTGCAATTCACATTTGTGTATCCGCAGCTAATCAACACCGTTGACAAGCTATTACAGCGTCCTCATGTGCCGACACTGGTGTTGTAGCTAGCAAAGCTAGCAAAGACACGCTAATGACAACCACTGGAGATGTGAGCAGGACAGACGGAAAATTTGACAGAAAAAGTGTGGACTGTAAACTATAAAGCAGTTTTTAAGTTGTGTAAAATGTGGCCATGTAAAACCAGAGTTATAATAAAAAAAATATATGTAATATTTTTTCTTCCTGAATACTATCGTTGTTTATATTTACTGCCGGAGGAAACGTTAAAAGTACCTGTTGGAGTCAAATTGTTAAATATTGTCATTGTGTTACTTAAATTTGTAAGTCATAGTTCAACTCACACACACACACACACACACACACACATACATACATTCTCACACATGCATACACACACATGCTTACAAGTGCACACACAGTGCCTCGTCTTTTGTAAGCATAGGGGGGGTTACAGTGGGAGGTGCTTGTGTGTACTGTAACTGTTGTGTAAACTGTGTCATGGAAATAAAAGGCTGTGAGGAAGGCTACTTAGATGAAGTTGGTTAGGAGACAAGTGAGGAGCGTTCAGCTCCAAGAGCTTGGGTTCTGTCCAGCCTTGCCTTGCTAGCAAGTAAAAGATGTTCATCTTGTTTCTGTCGTTAACGAGAATACGTTTCTAAACTAGCGGGGCCTGTGGAAACGCAGACCCAACAGCAGCGTTTTATAAGGAAAGCTCTTGCTCCTGTGAGCAACCAAACTGAACTGAAAATTTAAATGCAATTAGTCCATTTGGAGCGCAGAATGACTCAAAATCCCTGAAATGTCACCATGTTTCTGCAGTTTGTCCATTTTGTGCTCCAGATGGGTTAATTGCATTTTAAATTTTAATTGCATTAATCATGATGAAGTATTAATCTGTGTTAATGCATGAACTTTGACAGCCCTAAAAATAATGTAACTAAACACTTGAAATAAATATAGTCAAGAACACCCCATGCTCCCTTTAGGCTCAGTCCTGCTTACTGCAGATATCACCGCTACATAAAGTACCACGAGGTAGAACTTACACATTGTGCTTGGTTGATGACCAAATTTGCTGTATGTTGTATTTAAAAAGAAATGAGCTGCTATCTTGAACAAATCAGCGCTTCACTTCTGAAGGAAAAAGGGGCGGGAAGGAGAGGAGGGAGATTTCCACAAACAGAGGATGTAAATAAGAGACAAGGGAGGATAGAAGCATTCCTGATCATATTTACTCCAGCTCATGTTTCAGAAACAGCAAATACTCCAAACACTTTCAAAACAAAAGATCTCTCTCTTGCGGACAACAAGCTCCACTCCACACCTGGACACGGACACACAGTTGAGTTGCTCCCTGGAAGGAGGCGTAACATAACACCTGAACACTGTGAGAGTGCCACACCTTCATGTACTGATTTACAAATATGCCGTCTGACTGCTCAGGCTGACTTTAAAACATGTTAAGCACCAAGGGGCTTTCTGAGCTTCCTGCTCGAAAGTCACATGTCCAAAATGAGTATTTCTCTGCAATTACGAACTCTGTGTAAACAATCTTGGTATCAAAATAAAGTTAACACTTGTGAGAGTTCATCAGAGGTGTAAATATTACAGCAGATATTATTGTGTCAAAGTTACTGAGGCTGGGATATTTGAGTATCTTGATTTTTTCATCATCTAATTTATTTTTGGTTTTGTTTTTTTGTTTTTTAAACCACTTTCAAAATATGATTCGCTTCACATTTAAGTCCAGAAATCCAGGAATCAACATATGAACATTCTCTGTGCAAATATTGATGCTGCTGAAGTGAAACAGTGGAAATTGACATCACTTTTAATGAAATTACAATAATTTAATGAAATAGCCAGGCATTTTGCCATTTGGGACATTTTAGCACCATCTGTTGAAATGTCTTAGGTATTGAACAGCAGAAATGATTTTACTTTATTTACATGTTTAATATGTTTGTTTCAGCTTCTATTGGCCGATTTGCATGACTGATACCTCGTTTTAATCATTTGAGCCAAGAGAATAAACCTGGTTTGGTTTCAGCTTTTAGAAAATGTATTGCTTCCTTGGTTGGCCATGAATCTGTGTTAACGAAGCTCTTTGTGTTTGTTTATGGGCATTTAATGGAACAACAACAGCACTTTTAACTGTTTGTTGTTTTTGCTGTGTTTGGTGGTCGTACAAATGGTTTAAATGCGCTTTTAGCTGAGATTCAGAGGTTTGTGTGGATAGTTTCCAATACTTACATTACTGAGATCGTGTTGCAGCTGATTAAACTGAATCTTCTCCTTTTTGAATCCGTTACTCATCTTATGAGAAATGAGAAATAAAATCAAACAAATGCCGAAGGATTAAAATGGCACAATACCATATTTTCCATTTCCCAAACTGCACACGCACAATTTGTCCCATCAACAGCAGGATTCAGCAAAACAAGACGTCCTTCAGACTTTAAAGTGCTGTCAGTTAAACGAGGAGGTGGCTGGAGAGAGAGTTCTGAGCTTCTCTGCTTAGGCTGCTGCCCCCACGACCCGGACCCAGATAACCTGAAGAAGATGTATGGATGGATAAT